CGCTATACTCTTTCTACACCCGCCCATGTCCTTTGCGCCACGTGTCAAACTGGTGCAGCAGTACTATTTCCAATTAAAAAATTTGAAAAAACGGGTATAGCCCCACGGCCATACTAAAAGAAATACGGAAAAACTGAGATTTTTTTTAATACATATTAGTTTTATTCAATAATATGTTAGAATTGTGTGTATAATACGTGAATTTTTTAAAAAAAATAAGTGTATTAACCTTGAGAAATACGTGCGTTCGTGTATAATACAATATTAAACGTGAAAGTGCCAAAAATTTTATACGGGTAATAACGTTGGGAAAGTGAAAAATCAAAAATGGACAATAGATACTCGAGTAATGGCCTAATAATAACGGATAGGGCTCTTGGGCTATGGAGAAATTTAATTAAGACACCCAAACAATTTCACAAAAGACTTAATAAATATAAATTAATTATTTTGTGGACTTTTTCTTTAATTTTTAATATTAAATAATAATTAAAATATAAGTATTAATTAAAGTAATTCAATAAGGCTAAGACATTTACATATATTTAATTAAAGAAGTAGGCCAAAAAACAAAAGTAAAGAAACTAATTCTTCTATATTTAAAAATTTAAAAAGGGAAAGAAAAAAAAAAAAGTCTAAGACATTGGGTGGGGAAGGGATGGGATGGTGAGAATTGGATCTGGAGTATTTTGAGGAATACGGGCTGGGGATGGGTGCCCAATGTGACAGAGAAATAGGGATTGGGGTTGGGAGAAATTGGAGAAGGAAGGCGTGGGTTGCGGCAATGGAGGAAGTGGGGGGTTGTGGATGAATTTCTGAATTTATCCTCATTTTTGACAGAAAATTTAACAGAGTTTGACGGAAGAACTAATGGTGCAATACAACACTTAATTGAGTGACCTCTGTAACTATTTTTGGAGTTGAGTGACCAAAATTTAACTTTGAGTATAGTTGAGGGACCATTGCTCCAAATAAACCATTATTTTTTGTATTTTTATTACTTATTGAGATTACTTGAAATTGTTAATTTTTGTTAATGAATTACGCCTTACTCAAGCGAGGTCCAAAACCAATTTATAACATAGAGACGTGGTCTTAAGACATTTCACATAGAGTAACATTACACGTACAACATTTACAAATAATATTATTTCAACTGAAATCCACTTACATCACTTGAATCCCACCTTTATAAATTATAGACACATATCGTGGTACTAATCGTTTTATAGTTTGAACAAATTAAAGTTGCATAAATTTCAAGGACGGAACTTGCAAGCGACTTTTAAGTCTTCAGTGGGTTTGTCGTGGGCAAGTCCACTGTCCACCCATGCAGAGTAGCCCCCCTCCATGTTCGTCACATGCTGGAAACCCTGCAATTAATTTTCCAATTTTGATAAATTTTCCCCTTCAAATTATAATTTTATGAAAAAATAATAAAAACCAGGAAAATGAAATTCATGATATAATTAACTAATAAACAAAGGCAGGCCAGTACCAGAAAAACTTACTTCATTGAGAATATCAACACAAGCTTTAAGTGATCTGCCTCCACTGTTGCAACCCTTCAAATAAAAAAGTAAAAAAAATTCGGGACTGATCAGTTGAGAGTTCTCATGAAAGGAAGAAGGAAAATCATAAGTTCTAGTAATTATACCACGACCAAGTGGTCCTGTTTCTTGAGAATTGAGGAAATTTTGGTGAGAAATTCATGGTTTTTCACTCTACCTGCTTATTAACACAAGAAAACAAAACAAAACCTAATTATTATCATACATATATACATATCTCATCTGGATGTCCGCACTTTATTATCGTGCGGATGTCATTATAAACATGGAGGAAGGCAAGGAGAAGGGTAGTAAAGGATACATTAATTATACCTTCTTCTGTGATGAACATGTAAGGAATGTTCAAGGCATTTTCAACGTGGCTCTTGTTGAACTCCTCAACCGTCCTATTAATATAAAAAATTTCTTTTAGCATTGGATCAGAAAGCGCAAAAGGATCGTCTCTCATTTTTTTCTTTTTCTTTTCTAAATCCTGTGAAACTCAGCCGAAACTGTAATCAAGACTTGATTATACAAATTAATAGCTCAAAAATCAAGAACCCAAATTTTTTTTTCTTCTTCTGTTTTTCTGTGTCGCATTAGTTTTGATCTTGAATTGAATTAAACTCATGGCATCGATCCCTTAATTTCAAGATCAACCACACCTGACATCCAGATAACGGTGATCTACGCTGAGGAGACCTTTTGCGGTGTAGACGTCGACGCTGGCAACATCTTCAGGCCTACAAATTAATAAACATACCTATTAAAATATATTTTATAATTAATCTGATCACTTGCACTGAAGCAAAAACCTTCAAGAACCAAAAAACTGCTTGAAGATTTTTAAAATGAAACCATCTTACCTTTTCGTGGCAGCCATTGTTCGTATCTGCAGATTTGACTTCAACTTCCTTTGTTGAACCTAAAGAAATTTTAGTAGAAGCAGAACAACTTCACCATTGTTAGAAACTTAGAACTGCCTGCCATGTCTATATATATAAAGGTATAATACACATTTGACCTTATGTTCTCTTCAATTATTTTTCTCTGTAGATAAATTTAATTAATTTTAGAACAAATAAATTGATAGAGTTGACATGACTCCAATTAAATTATTTAATTCTTCATAGATAATTTTTTTTAGTACACAAGTTGCTTCCTTGAACATGCAATACATTGGCCACCTTACATTGCTTAACTTCCTGCCCAAGCATTTATAAATAATAATAAAAACAACCATTGACTTTAAACTGATGTATACCAAAACGTATGTTGATGTGAACTTATGTGTCACAGTGTTTCATTTATTCATGATGGAATTCTTCTTTAAATTTTATTTTATATAACTAAGATACTAATACTCCTTTTTATTTTTATTTTTATTTATGTATCTCTTTCTTTTTTCACCTCTTATGATTATTATATGATAAGAGGGGTTGGCTTTGAGTTTTTGACTTTTGATGTCGTACGTGCTTATGCAAAGCACTCAGGCAAGCATATCATATGCAGGAGGAACCAAAACCCCATCTAGTATTCTACTTCTCTTCCTTCATCCTTCTTCCTTAATGCCAGGAGGAACCAAATGCTTTTCGAGCTTCCATGCTCCCAATGTCACCCTTTTCAGGAAGGTACGTACTACGAAACGAACCCCTAATTTGATTTTTCTCTTTTGAAATCAAATAAAGCACATACTTGGCTAGTTAAGCTATATATTAGCACTAGTTAATCACTAATCGCTAGCAACTCTTACAGCTTGGGGCGGAGTTTGTAGGGACCTTCATCTTGGTGTTTTCAGCAGCGGCAGGACCTATTTTGAATGAGAAGTACAGGTAGGGGAGATGGCAGGTGTGGCAATTGGTGCTACAGCATTGCTCGACATTCTTGTGGCAGGGTGAGTAACCTTTGTTCTTGGATTTTTTTTTTTTTTTTTTTTTCTTGTTTCTTTTTCTGCTGCTGAAAATAGCATGCGTAGAAAATTAAATGAAAATTATTTAATCTTATAGTTTATCTAAATAATATTATATTTACATAGCAGGCCAACAACTGGGGGTTCAATGAATCCTATCCGGACTTTGGGTCCGGCTATTGCTGCAGGAAATTATAAGGGATTGTGGATCTATTTGGTTGCACCCACATTTGGCGCCTTAATTAGCTGGAGCTGCTGCCTACACAACTGTGAAACTCCCAGACAATAAACCTCCAAACCAGGTTAGGATCTCTACTTGTTAGATTGTAGGGTGATTGCTTTGATACCACTTGTCAGAATTTAGGAGGTGTGAGTGATGTTGCTCTGATACCGTTGTTGGTTTATGTGTTGAAGGGGTTTAGGACAATAGGACAATAGTTGAATAAAGTGATTTTATTACATTGGAGGAGAATAGTACATAGGTGTAAGCTAATTGGCCACCACACTTGATTCAGATTAGTTTGGGCTATTTGGCCCTAGCTTGAGTTCTTGTCTTCAAGCTTCTTCCATAGGTTGGGTAGCTAGTTCCCTCGTGGATTGGGAGTTGTAGTGGTTAACTCCCACCACCTTTAGTTGATCATTGGCTAGATAGCTAGATAGCTAGCTAGTAGGGGAGGCCCTTAGAGGACTCAAACCCAAAATTTCACCCTCCAAAATACAACTATTCATGCATTTTGAGAACTCAAACTGTTTTTTCCTCCAACCTTGCAAACTCATAATTTGAGTCAACAACTTTATTAAATTGTTAAAGAACAATATAATCCTACTACTTGTTGTTGTGGTTAGTGTTTTTTTAGTTAATTTTTGCATATTACTCCGTGATTTTTTTTTTCCAACATTTTGACATAAATTTTTTGAAATTTCACAAACATAATTTTATTAACAAATTGATGGGTATTTATATAGAGTTTAGGATATGTTTTGAGGTTGCATCTAACTTAGAACAATATATTTACTTATTTTTACCTTTGGATTTAAATTTCAGGTATTGGATTATTATTTTTCCCGTTGATCCAACCAGAATTTAATATCAGCCGTTGATTTCTAGCCTTTAGGTTTGAAAAAAAAATTATTGAAAGAAGCCCATTTGAAATGCAACCATTAATGAAGTGCAATTTTTAAGTTGCCTAGGCTTTGACATGTGGCCAACAACCCATTATTTGCTTCAAATTAGGTCCCACGGACTCTTGTTTGCTGTGAATTGGGCCCCACAAAAATTCTGCCTGGACTAGAATTCAGAGCCAAATTCCGCCCCATTTTTTAGTCAACTCAAATTCCCCCTCCCCCCTTCCAAATACATGGGTTGGAGAAGGTTTTAGGCTAAAACTCCCAAATTTTGGGTTTTGACTCCCATGGTTGGAGATGGTCTTAGGGCCTCCAAATTGGAAGGACCCCAATTTTTATAAACATATATATATATATATATATACAGAGAGCTTTCATTGAGGGATCCCTCAAATAAGCTTATTTGAGGGATCCCTCAATGAAAGCTCTCTGTATATATATATATATATATATATATATATATACAGAGAGCTTTCATTGAGGGATCCCTCAAATAAGCTTATTTGAGGGATCCCTCAATGAAAGCTCTCTGTATATATATATATATATATATATATACAGAGAGCTTTCATTGAGGGATCCCTCAAATAAGCTTATTTGAGGGATCCCTCAATGAAAGCTCTCTGTATATATATATATATATATATATATATGTTACTTTAAAAATGGTACCATGTTAATATTATATTAAGCCCAAGTACTACTTTTAAAAAAAGCCCAATTATTTACTCTAAAACTAAAAATGGAAACTTATTAATGTCCAATTATTTTTTTAAAGTTAACCTAGTTGAATAGGTTAACCTAGTAGCATATACCTTAGCAAAAACAAAAAAAAAAAAACGTAGCAGAATATAGGAAAATATGCTCTACTCAACACAAGAAAAAAAAAACAAGCAATTTATTATTGAATCTCTGCAAGAGGAAGTGATCTTCGAGGAAGAACAAGATGATAAAAACCCACAAGATTATTGCTTATATTTTCTATTGAAAAAGACATGCTAGAAAAACTTGATTATGCAAAGTTCATTGATACTACTTTGGCATCGAAAAATTAAAGACGGGTGATGTTTTGATGCATTTTATAAAGTTGTTATGTGAATTACATTTTTTTTTTTTTAGGTTACAATTTTGACCTTGAGTTCATATAATTCTTTTTACTTATAAAAAAAAAAAATTGCATAAACATACATAGAGAGTAGAATGCCACATTCTCACTAGCTTAGATTTGGGTAGCTTGTTTGCTCCCGCATAGATTGGGAGTTCTATTAGTTTACTCCACATTTCATTGTAGCTAGCTTGTTTCCACCGACTTGGGAAGATTAACACCAGCCACATATGTGTGGCTTTCTCTACAGTAATCTTCATTCTTCCCATTGGTTTTGCCGACATAGGTAAGCTTTCTCCAATAGTTTAGGCTGATCATCTCAAAGCATTCTAGATTTCTCCACACATTTCTTTAGCACAAATGTGCATTATTTTCTACACCACTGCTGCCAATATAGCCCAAACTATCAATCATGTTCAAGTTATTTGATCTCTGCTTTCATTTGATCATATGTGTTGGTGTGTAATAGGTTCCCCACGCCTTTAATCGTGACGATATTTCAAACTAAGGCTCGATCGGGCTTTAATTATATATGTATAGATAATCATAAGATGAGCAGACTTAGTTTCATGGACTATTTGATGATTCTTATTACAGGTCGCATCAGAGGAGCTTGTTGATCCTAAACTCTGAACAGATGATGAGCCTCTATTTAGTTTTGTATGGTATCAAAGGTAGTTTATATTCACGGATGGACGGAACTGCTACAAGGACTACAGTGGGCTGTAGCCCAGTGAGGGTTTTTTTTGGGGTGGGGGTGTGGGGGGGAAATAAACCTATATATTTGCCTTTTTTAAATATAACCCAATATTTATTAACCTATAAAAGTCAAAAAAATTTAAATCTTAATTAATTTAGTTGCAGGGCAACAATAAAAATAAGTACACTTTCAATTATGTTGTTAAACATGATTTCATTTTGATAATATGTGGTTTTTTGGTTGAATTTAATTTGTATTTGTTTTAAGTTAAAGTTTATTGGAAATTGCAAGGGTTTGTAGCTCAAATAGTTAAGACCATTTATCCTTGTCCAAGGTTTAATTTTCCCCTTATCACTTGTATCCAAAAAAAAAAATTAAATTTTGAAAATTAGTCCATTGAGGTTTATATATGATTCAATGTATAGATTTTTTTTTTTTTTTTTCCTAAAAAGACTATAGAAACTGTAACTACATAAAAATGATAATTAGATTTTTTAGCTAATATATGTAGCTAGCCCACCCGTCAGAGAGCTCTCTATGTTATAAAAGAACAACATAAGTTAAACAGAACTTGGAATATTAATATATTCTCAATATTGTATTTGTCAGAATCTACCTAATGAA